AAGGCGAGTGTGGTATGTATCTCGGCAACCAGCACTCCACTTTCTCCAACAGGGCTGAGCCTGTGGGAATGGTGGAGGGAGAGGCCTACCTCCCGCTGGCTCTCCACTCCAAGCATTCTGCCAGCAAAAGAGCAAATCAGGACAACCCCTTGCTGCCTCTTCCCTCCCTATCCCTCCCCTCCCGCCCCACCTTGGGATCAATACTTAATGCTGAGTCGGAGATCTTATGGAGTATTTGCAAGGTTAAAGCAACAAACTGCGCCCCCATGATTAAATCCTTTGACCATCAGCCTACTTTTCGGCCCACCTCTCACAACTTTTAGAGAGCAAATGAAACAACTCTGAGGACACTGGAAAGCCACCATTTCTCTCTTTCCTTCTGGGCATAAGACATCATGGAAGGCCAGGATGAAGTGACAGGTGGGGCCAAGCAAGAATCTACCAGTGACTCTCTTCCTTGTCTGAATGCAGGAAACTGCTATGTGGCATTCCAGAACTTCACGTGCCTTAGTTTCTCCATCTGGAAATGGAGGGACAAGTTAATCCAGCCAGAAGGGCTGGTGTGAAGAAGGATGAAACACGAGAAAGTACTCACGCCCTTAAAATGACCAACTCCCCTGCTTTAAATGGCTGTCTAGCACCATGCCAGCACGGGTTAGGGCCTGGGCTCCAGGTCAGACAGGCTAGGCTTATGTCCAAGCTCTGCTGTGACCAGACTCTGGGCAGCTTGGCTCACCTGTGGTTTTCTGTCATAAAGATTCAGCAGCACGTGCAGGGACTGAGCTAAGTACTCAGTATGCAAGTCCTCAGAAAGCTGGGGCCATGTCTACCAAGTTTGTTCACACAGCCTGTCTAGACAGAGATGGGGCCTGTGACACCACTGTGGTGAGTGCTGGGTCAGGATGCCCAGAGAGCCCTCGGGAATGGAGGTGGGCTGCATCCAGTGACTGGCCAGCACATAGGTGTGAAGGATGGTACTTGCAGCCCAACTGGGGACAGCTGCGGGACCATCCCATTTCAGAAGGCAAGAGTTGGCTCCTGAGCACTTCCTAATAAACTTCAGCATGCTGATCCCATCCCACAGTGGCTTCCCAAGGAAGTCACCCTGCAACAACTGCTCACTTCCTTCCCTAGTCATAAAAATAACAAAGGAGTTCATCCTGAATATTCTGACAGAGAGCTAAAAGATGGAAACATATTTCAGGTCCCCAGCCTTATGAATCCCATTCCCGTATTTTTTAGAGGAAGAAGCTGAGATGTTTGGAGAGGTTAGGAAACATGCCAGGGAAAATGTCAAGGGAGGAACAGAAGCTGGAAGCAGATCCACCTCTGAGCAGCGCCACACTTCCATGGCTTCATCCACAGTGGATCACAGACTGGACACCGGTCCTCTTCCTGCTGGCAGGAAGAATACACCTTGTGGGAGACTCATCATCTCCCATGACCTAGGTTCTCTCTCGTGGCACTTGTGAGGCCCAGGCTGGTGTTCTACGCACCGGAGAATCAAGCAGCCACGCAGATAAACTGAGGGCCATCCTTGCCCCCACGGGGACCAAGAGGGACAGGAGGTGGCCTGTAAGGGCAAGGAGTGGAAATTCTGTTCTTACTCTGGTCCTGATAACAAGTATGGCCTCAGTGGCCCCAGGACCTTGGTCCCTCTCGCAGAAGGCAAGCCCAGTTCCCTGTGTTTATTCCTGAACTGTGGCAGTCACAGCCCCAAGGGTATACAAGTAGTTGTTAAAATCCCAGGGGCTGGGGATGAGTCAAGGCCCCAGGCTGCCTCACAGGGCTTGGGCTAGAAGTTTGATGAGAAGTGCCGAGCTTGTCCAGCAACAATACCTTGGGGTTAATGGTCTGGGCCTCTTTAAGGGGAGTGGCCAACCAGGGTGTCCTCAACTTCTGCCTCTGCAGCACTTTCCTCGTGATAAGATCATGGCATATAGGAAGCTGAGGGGTTGAGGGTGAGGCTGGGGCCAAGTGGCTGCAGGAGGGTTTTATTCCTCAGGCTTATCGCCGAACTCCAAATGCACACTTCATCAGGCCGTGGATGTGGGGCCATACATGACTTGTATTGCTGTTGTGACATGTTCTTCTTTTTTAATTTCTTATTCCCCTAAATGCTCTGAATTCACTAACGTATGACCCCAGCTTTAGCATCCAGTTCAAAGAGAAACATGTTCTCGGCTGTTTTGAGGGGCTATGACATATGTCTACCCAGAGAGAACACAGCAGGGTGGGAGGTCCCTGATCTGTCTTCTTGAAACTTCTTTGCATGTCTTCCCCGCAACCCCTGTTTTCTCTCCTCCTGCCCACCAGCATCAGGTAGGGGTCCCCACAGGCTGCATCCACTCAGGTCAGGTTCATGGAGATGCAGTGGCATAAGGCTGGGCTCAGAAGGGCTTTACTCTAGGGTTACTGCTCTGTGGTCGTCTTGAAATTCTTAGCCATCTTTGAATAAGAGGCCCCACCTTTCCTCTTGTTCTGGGCACTATAAAGTTTAGAGTTGATCCTGTATCCACCACAGGTCAACTCTGGCAGGTCAGGCGGTCCTCGCACAGGCCCTGCTTGGTTGGGGGCAGGAGTGTGCAGGCGGCAGGGCTCTGCCCACTCTCCTTCCTGCCAATGTCCATCTCAAGTCCTGAGAGCCAGTGATGACATCCCAAAGATGCTCTAAGCACTGGGCCCTAGAATGGACCTTCCGCCACCTCACAGCAGGCAATGAATGCTTCTCTTGCCCAATCACAGACAGGCAAGATTTGTGCCCAACAAGATTTGTGCCCAACACCTCATCTTTGTACCCAACACTATCCTGTCTTTCTGCCCTTTGGAAAAAGGGAAGAGGCCTCACCCCCAGCAGTATCTGGTTAGAAATGAGACAACTTCTCTGACACATTTTCGGGGGCTTTACCCAGAAGTCTGAAGTCCTGAGTTTGACTCCACCTCTGCCCATGTCTAGCTATGTGACCTCAACAAGTAACTGACCCTCTCAGGGTCCTTGAAGACAAACCTCTTTCCCTGCATGGCTGCAAGGGTTAATGAGATGCTACCCATGGAAACCCCCAGCACAGGGCCTGACACACAGATCAAAAATACCATCATTCAGTGATTTTTCAAAACAGGACAACAATATTGCCTGGTAGTCACTCTGGAATCTTCTGGGTTTATGAATCCTAACACTGAACACCGGGTGCCACATTCAAATGGGTGTCATCCACCTCGAGTATAAAATAGATGACGATGCTCTTCTTAACAAAGCCATCCCTGTGTGGACACAGTAGAGAAAGAGCAGGATTTGAAATCAGCAGTCCTAGGTTTGAGTCTGCTCAGAAGCTGGGTATATCAGCTACCCACTCTGAGCCTTAACTATTTCACCAACGAAACAGAGGTGATGAAAATGATAACACTAAGAGGTGACACTTGTGCACAGTTGACTAGGTGCCTGGCATTACATTCTCCAAATAATCTCCTAAGAAGGTGTTATTATTACCCCCGTTTTACAGATGAAGACGATAAGTGATTTTTCTCAAAGTTGTTAAGTGATTTTCTGAAGCCACAACAACCCCCGAGGGCTGCGGTGGAGATCAATTTGGAGATGCACGTGGAAGTCGTGATTTGGAAACCATGAAGTTGGATCAACACAGTGTGGTGACGATGGAGGACAACTGAATTGTCCAAAAGGCCCTGCCTTCCTCTCACTCTGGGTTCCCACTCCCAGGCACCACAGTGGACAAAACTCATCAGGTTACGCCTTGCCCTCCTCCCCACTCCCCATCCTCTACCCCCTGCCCACCTCTTCTCACCATAAACACCACTTGATGCCATAGCCGTCCATCCAATGCCCACCTCTCCCATTCTGAGGATGCCGTGGGGGGATGCATGAGAAGCTGGGCCACCAGGCATGCTGGGGACATGCCTCTCCTGCTCCTATCTCCACCAGCAATGTTCCCCACTCCACTCCTTCCTCCCTTTCACTCAGTCTGCCTTCTCCAAACAGGAAAGACACACAGTCAGTGCTGGGTAACTGCTTCTAATCACAGGTGACAGCAGGAATGTAAACAACACAGGAAACATCTAAATGCAATCCAAGGAGCAAGGAAACACTGCTCACTCGCACTCCTTCCCTGGAAAACACCAGCCACCATTTCCTGCCACCCGCTTAGGAAGCTCTGCTCATTAATGCCCTGTTAACAGGAACCCCAGAAACCTGAGCTTCCGGGGAACAGAACACTAAGTCATAACCTCTTTTGACTCTACTACCTCCAGGGAGGATTTTCTAGATTCCTCTAATTTTTCTGTTTAAAGCACTAATTTTAACATGTTCATTTGGGATGGGGGGAAGGGTAAGGTTCAGAGATCTCTTTGTAAATCTGTTCAAAGCCAGGGATCTTCACCCAAGAAAACCATAAACATACACCATTTTGCATGTCATTTCAGAGGTTCAGAGGCCCCAGGTTGAGACCCATTTTCAGCTAGGTGGATGGAATGGGAGGAGCACATGAGAAAATATGAGTACGTGTAGAAGTGTAGATGCCCTCTGAACATTCTAGAGACGCAGCAGGGCATTTCAAAAGCTGTAACCGCAGTGCACATAGAACAAACTTACAACACAGTGGTGTTTTTTTTGGCTCTTAGATTGACAGTCTGCTCCTAAACTGCCTCCTTCAGTGCAAATTGAGAACTCAACTGAGTAATTGCTAGGAATAAATTCTACTTGGATCACTTAGTGCTGGGGTTAGCAAGGGACTGAGAGAGCCAGGATTAGAAAGGTGGGTCAGCATGTGTGTGTTGGGCATGGCTGCACGATTCAAAGAGAGTTCCCAAGCCAAAAGGAAATCGGCTTTCAACTGTCCAGTACTGGGATCTTCAACAGATGGTGCCTCTACCTGCTTGATTCTGGACTCTTCCTCACTGTATCTTTTGTCATTGGGACTGGGGGCGACAGAAAGGGAGAGGCCAGGAGAGAAAAGAGCAGCGACCTTTTTAGACTGGGGTCACCTTACCTCTGTGCCTGTTGGTAGTTTTATCAAACATCAGCATCGCATCCTCCACCTGCAAAACAAACACAAAATAGAAGCTGCTTTAGGAATTTTAACAAAGTACGCAAAATATTATATGCTGAGTGTATGTCTTGGGGGGGCTCCATTGTAGAATTAATAGTTGCTCACTAAAGAATATTTGAAAAAAGCAAATAGGAAGCAAATAGGAAAAAAAAAATGCTTGTCTTTCCACGCAGTACAACTATAGTTAATAACTGGTGTATCTTCCTTTAGTGTCTACCTTAAGACAAAACAAAACAACAACAAAAACTATGCCTATTTTAATATCGTTTAAATCATAAAGTATACAGAATTTTTCCTTGTTTTTTATATGTAACATTGAAATATTGCAAACAACTCCTAGGTTACTACACCATGAACACTGTTTTAACTCATGTGTGATATTTCATGGAGCGAGAAGCCATCTCTTAATTATTCCCCTTCTGATGAATATTTACATTGTTTTCAGTTATAAACAATGGAACTTTAACAACTTGATTGTTATAGGATGAACTATATTCCCCAAAATACATATTGTTGTCCCCCAATACCTCAGAATGTGACTGTACTTGGAGAGAAAGACTTTATTTATTTTATTTTTTTCGAGTTGGAGTCTCACTCTGTCGCCCAGACTGGAGTGCCGTGGCCGCTCCCGGCCACCGCAGCCTCGACCTACTGGGCTCCGGCGATCCTTCCGCCTCAGCCTTCCAAGTAGCTGGAACTACAGGTGTGTGCTACTACACCTGGCTATTTTTGATTTATTGTAGAGATGAGCTCTCACCAAGTTGCCCAGGCAGGTCTTGAACCCGGGGGCTCAGCCTCCCAAGGCGCGGGATTACAGGTTGAGCCACCGAGCCCGGCTTGAGAAGGACTTTAAAGAGGTAATTAAACTGAAAGGAGGTCATCAGGATAGGTCCTAATCCAATATGACAGGTGTCCTTATAAATTGAGATTAGGACACAGACACACGCAGAGGAAAGACCATGTACCTACACAGGGAGAAGACGGCCACCTAAAAGCCAAGAAGAAAGGCCTCAAGAAAAAACCAACCCTGCCACGCCTTGACCTTGAACTTCTAGCCTCCAGAATTGTGAGAAAATTAATTTCTGTTGCTTTAGCCCTCCAGTCTGCGGTACTTTGTTCTGGCCACACCAACAAACTAGTATATTGATGCCAGGACCTTTTCAAAAACATCAAAGAGAAGAAAATAAGAACATACCAAAGGCATCCTCTGCCTCTCTTCCTAATCCCTTCCAGACCCTTCCCACGCATCCTGCAACCCTTCTGGATAGTTTTAGCCATAAGATTTCAGAGGCCAGGAGCAGTGGTTCATGCCTGTAATCCCAGCACTCGGGGAAGTCACTGCAAGAGGATTGCTTGAGCCTAAGAGTTTGAGACTTCTGGGCAACATAGCAAGACCTCATCTCTACAAAAAATTTTTAAAAATTAGTTGGGTGTGGGGGCACGCATCTACAGTCCCACCTACTTGAGAGGCTAAGGTGGAAGAATCGCCTGGGTCCAAGAGGTCGATGCTGAAAAGTATCTGATTGTGCCACTGCACTCCAGTTTGGGCAACAGAATGAAACCCGACTCAAAAAAATGGAAAAGAGAGAGAAAAAAAGAAGACTTCATGATCCACACTCAATCGCCACATGGAGCTCAAGACACTCACAGTTAATGAACCAGACTGGGTGTTGGAATACACTCCTTTTGAAAGTAGTTATGATCCAGTCCTTTATTCCACAAGGTACCTATCTCATCCTCACCCATCAGCTACTCACCTGAGGTGAGCACCTGGTCTGACCAGTGAGCAGGCTGTGCTCTTCATTCATTTTGTACCCAAGGTTGGGGGTAAAAACACAACCTGTGGTTGTGAAGGAATAAACTGGTAGCCAGAGGGCTCGTCCTTAGAGCAATTTCCACGTGCACATGTAGCTGGGAAGCACTGAGCACAGCAGATTTGTGCTCAAAGGTTCACAAATGGGCTTGGGGGTCTGAGCTAATCCTTCAGAGAAAAGGCATCATGGTCTATGTATTCCTCACCCCCCCCCAGACTACAATCTCCCATGGAAGGGAGGACACGGGGCAAAGCCATAAACCAAGGCTTAAAACGGTGCCTCCACAAAAATCTTTTTCTAGATGCTATCAAAAAGAATAGGGGGAGGAGTAAAGTCAAAGTAAGGATGGAAGATGGGAGTAGGCAAGCCAGTCATACGCCTCGAAGGGACTGGCCTGGCCTAAAAATCCCTTCTCAAGTCAGGGACCCCTTTTGTTGCTAAGCAACCGAGCCTGAACAAACAGGCTCCCGGGGCCTTTCCCTTCTGATCCCCAGTTCTGAAGTCAGTTACTGGGAGGAAAATGGCCTAACATGGTGACTCCTCCAGCAGACACCTGCCCTCTCTTTCCTGGGTACCAGGATGACGAGACTAAGCGATGCTAGTTTGGAGGTCACTTTTGAACAGGGGCTCCTTCACCAGACACTCCCCCACTCCCTGCCCCTATGCCCATCCCAGGCAGGATAAACCCCTGCCAACAGGGCTTGGAGAGTCCCCCAGGCACCTGCTGAGGCCACAGACACAACAACCATTCCGCCTCTCATGCAGCACACAAGAGAAACCACCGTGAGCTCAACTGGTGTGTTTGTACACAGAGCAGTCACACTCGAGCATATGTTATCTCAGACTCAGACCCTGGGACTCGGTAAGAATTCAAGTGCCTGGGGTGCGGGTGGGTACGGGGGTGAGGCCTGCCGGGTGTTGTGCAGGTAAATGGGACATCTGTTTCGCACCCATCTCCATATTTTCTTAGATGTTTGCCAAATCTTTATTTTGAACTGCAAATGCCTAACAATAAGGAAAACAACCGCCCTCCTGTGCCACCATGTTTTGGTACCAAGACTCAGATTCCCTTAGGAAATAATGTTTTGAATTTTTTAAAAGATGTATTTCAAAATCCCCTTTCAACAGTGTGTAATTGGCTCCCCCTTTCCTTCCTAAGTTTAGATGTTTTTTAACACTGCCCGCCCAGCATTCGCTCCACCCTGGTGAGCATGGGGGAGGATCCGTGTATGTTTTTAGGGCAACCATTGTCCTGAAGAATAGAGCTCTTTCCCCCTGCAGTCCAGCTGTACAATGGGGCTCGCAAAGACCTCCTGAATAGATAAAGTGTCAGGGTGAAAGAAAAATTCTATTAACACTTTACAAAATACAACATCTAAGAAGTAGCTAGAGAGGAAAGAGAAAGGAGGAAAAAAATCAATATGGATAAGTCCCAGTGCTTGGGGGGAGACAACTTTTCAGCGATTGCAAAACACTTATTAATTCAGAGAAGCCATCAATGCGATGGAAATCTGGCAGAACAGCAAGAGCTGAAACTAGAAGAATTTGAATATACAAAGACTGAATAGAATGAAAAACACGGCCTCACATGCGAGACTGTTTCTCACGGTTCTATGTGAATCAAACAGAAGCGGCTTGTGTGAGACTCCGTCAAGGGGAAATGAGGGGCATGGTTAAGGTGACTGGTATTCAACCCTGGAACCAGCAAACTGATAACTCTCTTGGTCTCTCTTTGTCTTTGTCCTGCTCACTCTCTCTCAGTCTCTCTCTCTCTCTCTCATTCACACAAACACACACACACACACACACACACACACACACACACACACACACACACAAAACCCAGGTAGATTAGTTGGCTGTGCAGTCATCAACACTAGCATACAGACCAGGCCTCATCCAAAGTACTTAGGGGGACACAAAGACTTAAGGGAGCTGGAAATAGGACCTCAGGTAGAAAACACCATTAACCCTTATTAAATACCTTCTCCAAAGAGACCACCCTCATCCTTATGATTAACTTTGGTGTTTATTTTGTGTGGACAAGATGCTCACCTGCCTTACAGATTTCTTTGTACCAAAGGTGGGTGTTCCTAGCCCGAGTGGTCTTGGGGATTCACCGAGGGAAAGAGAAAGACAGGAGGTGTCTAAACCTCAGCATGGTCTGTCCTATATCCTGGCACAAGCCTGGTCTGTTTTGGGACAAGGAGCTTATTCCAGGCTCAAATGTTCCTTGCAATAACTTGAGGCAGGATTAAGATACAGCCTTGGCATCCTTGATGATATATTGTTTTTGTATGAAAAAGAACAGGAAAGCAACCTCTAGGAGAGATGGTTGGTTGGGAATGGGATGTCCTTGTCTTTTTTCTGACACTAGAAGGTTCTGAACATATATTTCACTATTGGAGATTCAGCCTATGCTGTAACATCCTCAGAAGTGTGACAGTCAGCTAAGGGGACCTCAAACTCTTGGGACCAAGCAATCCTCCTGGCTCAGCCTCCAGAGAGGCTGAGACTACAAGTACGCAGCATAATACCCAGCTAATTTGTTTTCATTTTTTGTAGAGACAGGGTCTCACTTTGTTGCCCAGGCTAGTCTTGAACTCCTGGCCTCAACCGACCCCCCACTTTGGCCTCCCAAAATGCTGGGATTACAGGCATGAGTCACTGCGCCCAGCCTAGTATTTGCATTTCTAACAAACTCCCAGGTGATGCTGTTGTAGCTGCTGGCCTAGGGACCCCTTTTCCCATGCACTACTCTAATGAATGACAAACGAAGAACAAAGGCCAAAGATATGGCCAAAGGTTGCATCGTCCTCTGTAACATACACTCTGTGGTCAATACACGAAACAACATTTCTTTTCTAGAGGCAAACGATCCACTTCAGTGTGGCAACTGTTCACCCTCTCTTTGTTCTCCTTCTTTCAGACATTTATGTTCTAAGATCTTGAAAATGATGAAGTAAAACCTACGATGAAAAGAAATGATAAGAAAAGGGGTTTCTTAGCGGTCACCGAGCTGCCCTGCACCCAATGTAAGGAAAACTCAGATTTTACTAGGATGATAAAAACTTTCCCGATAAACTCCTGCCGCTGTCTACATCATGCCGTCAACCTTATCTTGACTAGAAAACCTAGCTCACAGCAGCTTCACTTACTTTTATGTAACATATAT